AAACGGGAAAATCGACTATTCGCCTACGTGACAGTTAGAGCAGTCAGCAGCCTGACAGTTTTCATACTGTTCCGGATGAGCTCCGTTAGCCAGTCTGTCTACGCGTGCAGCACACGCCACATCAAGAAGCAGCCACTGCAGCCCGACTCTCCGACTTTAAAGGTTGACTGATTTACGCCGTCAGCCGGCAGCCTTTTATGCTACGGCTGTTAACGCACCGTGACAGTTTAGAGGCGCGTTAGCTTCTTTTACAGCGAGTGCTGTCGAGCTCACCCTCTCTCACTCTCCCAGGCACGAGTCCGTTGTCCAGTCCGGTCAGACGACGTATGCCGGAACTGGACGCCGCGGCCGACAGAGCTGAGCAATCCGTCTACGCGGGCCACATACGACAGTTTTTTTACACAGAAGGGAGTTAGTAGCTCTGATTCCAAAGGCACGCGTGCTATAGAGGACACATTAAGAAGTAGTCACTGAGCCTGACTCCCAGTCCTCCACCCAGTCACCCCATATGCACACAGAACTGACACAAGCACAGGGTTATCAAGTCAGCTGACAGCCTTCCAAACCACAACTTTTGGCGCATGGGAATAATTTTAAAGCAAGAACGATTTATTATAATGAGGAAGACGCTGAAATTTCTACTTGCCCAAAAGAACTGTCTTCCAAAAATCTAAATCTGACCTAAAAAGGAGATGCCTCAGGGACTGCATCAATAGCAGGGTCATTGCAGCCTGACTCACGGTCCGAAAGGTGACAGAATCATTCCACTAGTTGACCTTCACGCATCATGAAGATATGACACCTGTCATGCGATTATTTAAACTGCACTAGGCCTAGGTGGGCTTAATACCAACACCTTCCACTTTCCGATGCGGGGGAATGCGACGCGGATGCCCTCCCCCCCATTCGCGTCACTGACAGCTGATGAACTGCATTCTGGTTCGTAGGCGTGATCAGCGTATTTTGCCTACCGGACGAACCGCCGCCTTGTCATCTTCCAGATGACTTTTCAAATGCAATCCCGACAGCGACCGAAGGTAAATGGTCCCCAAGCAGCACGCCTTCACGTTGGTGGAACCGACTGTACCCATCTCC